AGGTAAGCTGAGCAGTGAGGGGCAGTCTGTGCTAACTGCCAAGGATCTGAAGTTATCTTAAGACACGAATAATGTCTCATTTCCTGCTAAAGTCCTACCTATCTACTCTGAAATCTAGATTCCTTCATAAGCATGTTCAGGAGATTCTTTAGAAATGGACATGACTTCTGATTAACAAATTCACACACTGGTATCTACCTTGGAGGGCTATTAGGAGAATGATACTCATTTACAAAGCACTTAAAATAGTGTTAGCAGACAGGCAGCTCTATTAAAGGCAACACATAATAATAAATTCACACCAAAGAAATAGTGCCATTAGAGTGTATACAGTCTCTCTCCTTTGCTTCATCCTACTGGTTACATCCCACCTGGTGAATCCTCAGCCTTGTGAAACATCTCTGAGGGCCTTATGTTTGAACAATATGGCATGCACATAATCCAGTTCTGCCTGAACTAGGAAGGTGACCTTCACGGTGTATCCCTAGGTTTGGTTTCTTTTCCTCTGTTTTTGTTTCTCTCCAACTTACAGTTGTGGCTTTGTTTTTGAGGCCTCACATTTCTGGCCCACTTATTTTTATGGGCTGATAGGGTTCAGTTTATAATAAGCACTTCTTTCTTTTTAGATTATGGTCAAGAGCAGGTGAAACACAGGGCTATGAGCTCTGTCACTTTTACTAATAATGCATGGGACCCTGTTGCCCTTACCATATACCTGGCCATAAGGACAGAAGGGAATGTTCTTGTTTTCTGATCACAGCCCACCCATTAACTCTGGTGTCAATAAAGAGCTCTGCTAGAGACCACCACGTGCTTTGAGCAATGGCAGCCCAGGCATACGTACCTTTCTTGCTGGAGGAGTCAGGTCAATTTCCATTGATTCTAGTCTGTTAAACAGTGAAACAGGCTAATGAGACTGAAAATTTTCTATAATTTGAAAATATCAATTCCCATATCCTTGCATGTAATAAGTCAAAGAGTGAATTTCCCAGCCCTTTCATGGGGTTTTCAGGGTGTGGTTAGGAATAGATCTGCTACTTCCTGGGTATTCTACTGGCTGTTCATTGACTGTAAATTAGTCATAACTTTTTTTTTTTCTTTTGGTTTTCCAAGACAGGGTTTCTCTGTATTGCTTTGGAGGCTGTCCTGGAACTTGCTCTGTAGAGCAGGCTGGCCTTGAATTCACAGAGATCTGCCTGCCTTTGTCTCCTGAGTGCTGGGATTAAAGGTGTGTGCTACAATGTCTGGCGGCATAACTTCTCCAGACCTGAGCTACAGCCTCTCCCCCATTTGTCTCTTAGTTATTAACCTGCTACCTAGTACCATTGACTAGACCACTGACTAGACCCTATGATCAGGGACATTCACTTACTGCTGTTAACACATGTAGTTAGCCTACATGTTACAGCATTCATTAGTCAAAAACATCAGCTGGGTTTATTTTCAATCTGGCCCTCCCTAGCCTGGCCACATGATGGTAGTGACCTCAGAGCAAAGACACCCTTTCTTAACTACTTCAGCAGGAGTCCCATGATGGCTCATTAACTCATCCTACATATGCAGTTGCTCCAACATCTATTTTAAACTTAATTTTCCTGGACGGTGATGTCACCTCAAACATTTTCCAGATTCCTACCTTCCTCTTTGTTGCCAGTGTCTTAAATACAGATATATGTTCTACATAATAGTCTCTTGGTGACAACTCCCTCTGGGGCAACTAGAGATAATTTGCTTAATTGGACTGATGACTTCACACACCACAAGAAAGCACAAATGTACTACAGTGACAACCTCCCAACCACACATGCTTGCTGCCCGTTCAAGGCACATGTCCATGGCAATTCCCTCCTTATGCTTAACTCTTATTTCTGAATCACGAGGACCAAGGATGGAGACTGTCTTTCCAAATCAGGTCTTAGGACAATAATGGTATAATGAATGTGCACTTTCCAAGGGATAGCCATAGTTTCCCAAGGCTGGGTTGTTCCAAAGACACCCAGAGACACAAGATAGGGCTATAGAGTGGTACATGAGGTGGAAGGGCCATCCCATTATATGGATAGACACAATTTTCACTTTTAGGTAGGGCAAGGATTTCTGGGAGGCTCACAGACACCTGATCATACTCAACGACTTGCTGTGGTGATAGGAATGGAATACTATGATTGTCCAGTGAGGACCTAACTTTTGACTACAGGGTTCAAGCTTCACACTAATGTCAGCTAAGCACTTAGGGTAGCTGGACATCCAGTGAACTGCCCATGCTCATAGTTAATGGGTGGGATTTGGAGACTTGAAAGGAGAACCAGATAAGAAGAAAATGTAGACGTGTCCATAGACATGACAATAGGTCACTAAATTTTCACAAATTCTTACACCATCCCACCAGGCCCACATACCTGTCAGGAAGTGAAGAGTTTGGTGGCAGCAAGGGATAGCCATTTGGCTTTGCTGAAGGAACAATAATTAAAAAAAAAAAAAAAACAGTCTTTACATTAGTGTCTACTTTTTGTGGCTCAGTAGCAGGTATCTTTGTATTCTCGTTTATGATATTACTTCACTTACTTGTCACAGAAGTTTTGATTGTGTTGAAAGCTGCTTGCTGTGATGACCTCATACTAAATAGATGAAGTAAAGGTATTAGATTAATTAATGAAATTGATTTCTCCTTCATTCATCCCAAAGTATAAAAAGGCTTGGAAATAACTGAATGAATTTCTACACATTCTCTTGGCCTACTGCTTTATTCCTTCACAACTGGTAAGCAAAGCAAACCAACCCTGGCCACCATGTACATAACTGGCACTTGTGGTTGCAACTATTGTAATAATGGGTCAATGATAAGTTATGCTTTAAATGTATGAAATTTAAATGCAACAATAAGAGATACTAACCCATTCAGATTTAATGGCCAATAGGAGAAATGGAGACAAGTAGATGAGGGTTGCAGTTTTATTGTCCCCAGCAAAGCTAGCCTAGATTTCTGTGACAGAAGGCAGAAGAGACAAGCTTGCCTGAGGTCTGATACCTAATAACCCTAATCAATGTCTGATGCATGCTAAGCTGTCTGTTCACAGCAGCATGCACCCTGGGCCCCTCTGGTCTAGCCTAGTAGATAAGGAATGTTTATGTGAATGTAGGGCAAAGCATGTCTGTTACTCACAAGACATGTATGAACAATGCAGATGAAATACTGCAGCCTCGGCACTGGTCTGAATGTTAAGATAGTCTGTGCTTGCAATCAGTCCAGTCAGACCAAATAAGTTAAGAACTGGCATTCATCAATTACTGTGACATGAACCTCTGTCATAAGGTCACTTTCTGGAGTCCTCCATAGCATTCATTTCTCTCACCCAGTACCATTTCTCATAAGAGCATATGTTTCTGTCTGGATATAAGTTCATTTATTGCCCTCCATCAAACAGAAGCACCTGAACACAAGCAGTTGACATGCTTGGTTCACATGAACGTCTGAAGTCAAGAATGGTGCCTCTCAGGTGCCCACAGAAGCCTGAAGAGGGCGCTGGATTTCCTAGAACTACAGTTGTAGGCAGCTCTAAGCTACCTGATGTGGGTGCTGGGAACAAAATCATGCTCCACTGCAACAGCAGCAAATGTTCTAATCTGCTGAGCCATCTCTCCAGCTCCCCATTTCTTTTTTTAAAATAAGGATAGAGGAAAGAGGTCCTTTTCTTCAAGATAGGTCACAAGCTATAATAGGTATTCACATCTGCCTTTCAGTCACATTCCGAGGCCCATGACACCTTCAGATGCTTGGATGGTTAGGGAATGTAGATGTCCACACACTCAGGCAACCAGTAAGAAAAACCAAACCGACCATTCCACACATAAAAGCTTTATGGGAAATTGTACTATTATCTCAGAAAAACACAGCCACCATGACAAAATATGCACCATGTCTTGTGTTGTCTAAACTATGGTGTGTTATGGAGTCCATATTTCATGGACATTAAGTGCAAATAAAAGAGTTTCAAAATTGCGGTATGATTAAGGCATTGACCAACACAGACAAGAAATGAGAATTTCAATGTTTGCTATTTTCCAGATAGGGAAATATACTTTTGGTTATTTGTAGCACTTTGAGATGTGTCTCATTATAATGCATGACTATGTGGTTCACATTAATTGCTAACTTGATAGGATTTAGAATTGCCTAAACCTTTGGCATGTTAGTGAGCTGTTGCTGTAGCTTCCCGAAAACATTTGGCCTCAAATAAACACACAGACACTATATTGTTGGCCAATGGCTAGGGCTTCTTATTGGTTAGCTCTGTCTTAATTATTAACCCATTTCCATTAATATATGTATTTCCACGTGGTCAGACCTGTTACTCCTTTGGCCAGCTACATGTCGTCTATCCTGGCGGGCTTTCTTTGCCTACCTTTCCCAGAATTCTCCTTGTCTTCTAGCCCCATCTATCTCCCTGCCTCTATTGGCCACAGTGTTTTATTCATCAATAAGAGAAACATATATACAGCAGGACATCACCCTTCAGTGAGCAAGTTTCTAGACTGAGTTAATTGAGTTGGGACAATTCACCCTGAATGTGGGTGTGGTACCATCCCATGGGTGAAGAGGGTATTGGATGGAATAAAAAGGAGAAAGCAAGCTGGCCACCAGGATTCATCTGTTTCTTGACTGTTGAAGTAATATGACCAGGTGCGGCACTGCTACTACCATGCTTCCCTACCACAAAGGGCTGCCACTTCAAAATGTGGGTAAAAAATAAACCTATTTTCTTAAATAATATATGCTTTTGTCACAGTCATGAGAAAAATAACTAATATAGAAAACTGGTACTGAGAAGTGGGACTGTTGCTGTGACAAAGCTGACCACTTGGTTCTTAGACCCTGGAAACCAGTTTGCAGGGACAATGTGGAATAGTTTGTAACTTTGGGTTAGAAAATTCTTAGAACACCACAAGCAGAGCTTAATGTGCCAGTGTGGTGTGAGTCTGGAAGAATAAAATGCTGACAGAAATGTAGGTGGTGGAGGCTTAGCTCATGAGGCTTTAGAGGAGTAGGCTTCTGTCAGGTAGTGGACTAGAGACCATTTGTGTTATGCTCTAGCAGAAAAGTGGCTGCATTCTACTTGTGTTTTGTCTACCTTGCTTTGCCCCCATTATTTCCTTCTAGAATACAAATGTTCAATTTGTGTCACTGTACATTAGAATTACATAACTTACTTTTTATTTTATTTTTATAGAATCTCACAGTTGAGGTATAGACTGTATCTCATAAGAGACTCTACATTTATACTTTTGAGCAGTTTTGGAACTTTTAAGATTAAGTGGACTTTTAAAATTGGACAGCATTTTTTCATTATAAGATGGTTATTGTGGAAAGTTATGGCTTTAAAATGATGTTTAGGTATATAGTTGACAAAGGGTAGACTGGTGATGACTAATATCAACTTTATAGAATTGAAAATTTTATAGGAAGAAAACTTTGGGCATACCTATGGTAGAATTTATAGGTTAAGTTAAATGAGGTAAATTTGGGTAGCACTACTCCAGGAGCTGAGGTCTTGGACTGAATAAAAAGGAGGAAGAGAGTCGAGCAGCAGCACACATCTTTCTCTGCTTTCTGAATGTAGATATGAGTGACCAGCTGTCTCCTCCTACTGCTGCCATGCCTTTCCCAACATGAGGTACTACCTACCCTCAAACTGTAAGACAAAATAAACCCCTCCACCCTCACGTTGCTCTTGTCACAGAAATGAGAAAAGTAAGTAATACAATGGACTTATTCAATGGCATGTGAAGAACCCATGCCATGCCAAGCTCTCCCTCCATAGCTATCTACAGGCAGCCACCATTTGCATTATGGTCACTGTAATTCCTGCCCCCTTACCAATACCTTGGGAATCATTTGGAAGCCTCTATGGGGACCTTCATCTCTTTCATCTGTTTTTGTCTACCTCAGTGATATGGAGCTCGATGTCTGTCCCTGTGAGACTCTTACCTTTGTAGTCGCTTGATTTGTAGCACTGACTTCCTGAGGGACTCCTCCAACTGAGAAATCTGAATATAAATATGACCCCATTATTAGACAGATTATTCCAAGAGGCAGTTCAAAGAACACATTTGGTTTGTCGACAAATGTGACATTTTAGCAAGCCTGGCTCATCAGGGCATTTGTACAGAGCTCTAGAAATACCCAGCTCAGTCTCCGCAAGGCAGTGGATTTTAACTAGCCAGTAGCAGCCCAGAGCACGAAGCTCTCTCTGCTAGGTATGCCTTAGAGATTCTGATGTCAAGTCTGAGACATGCCCTACTTTACACAGGTGATTTCAGAATACAGTCTACAACATGTCAGACTTTAGATCTGGCTTTATCACAAGACACTAGGAAATGTCAAGATTTAAAGTCTCCAGATTTATAGTGGTGTATAAAAACTCTCATTTGCTGGAGATTTAACAAGGTAATACTTATCAAATGAGTAACCAAGACTAGACCAGAAGATTCCCGGCAGCTGATCGGGAGTGATGTGGAGTGCTGTCGACAAAGCCGTGGGTTATCACAGAGTGAGGACAGTGCACAGAACCCGAGGGACCTGCCTGTCTGTCCCATCTGTGTCCCAAGGCAGTGACTGGCAAATGCCTTCTAGACTTGATAACAGGTTCTCAGAATTCTGGTTTTATAACTAGGATTCTCACTTCATTTATTATATAACCTATGAAGTTTTTTTTTAAGAACTTTTATGTAAAAAAAAAGAGGAATGAGAAGAAAAGCCTCTGTGCTTCTCTCATACTCCTGAGGCCCTAGTATTGGCCAGTCTAACTGAGGGAGCCCAGGTGGGCAGAGTAGGTAGCTCTGTGTAGACTGCCCAGAGCAGAGAAGCTCCTAGGCAGGTCAGGCAAACAGACTGATGGTCATAGGAAGTAGCTACCTCCTCAACTGGAAACACAAAGGAAAACAAACCTCATAGGTGCTGGGGAACTGTATTCAGATCATGGACTCAGAGAGAGGGGGAGAGAGAGAGAGAGAGAGAGAGAGAGAGAGAGAGAGAGAGAGAGAGAGAGAGAGAGAGAGAGCTATAACAACATGGCATTAAAATGACAAGATCAAACAAGAAGCAAGAGTTTGATTTCATTTACCTTTTCTCGATAGAAGGCCACCAGTCTCCTCCTATGTTTATCTTGAAATTCTGAAATCTGGTAAGACAACACATTTCAGTTTTGGGGGGTACAAAGTCATGGCATATCTCTTACGGAAGAAGTAGAAGGCTGGAAGGAACTTTAAGTTTGGGTTGTAGCATGTTCTGTTTTACATGTACTCCCCCAGTAGATCTGCATCTCCCCCCACAGGGCCAGTCACAGATTGCCTGGATTTGCTTGTGGTTAATGTCTGACCAGAGTAGACACATAGCTTAGATATATCAGGAGGGACAGACTACAAGAAGGCTGTCAGATGCAAAGGCAGGCAGGCTTATCCAATATGACCTCTAAACAATAAGGTTCTTTGTCTCTCTAGCAGCCTTCCTGTTTAAGAAGCTGCAGTGATGTGCTTACTCTTTTGGTAAATAAGACAGAACATGCGGTTCCACTGTGATGGTAAAGAAGACAGAACACGTGGTTCCACTGTGATGGTAGTGATTATCAGAGGAAGGCCTTCTGCCCAGTGAATGACCTTAATGCATGGACTAGGTCAGGGTTAAAGAGGTGGGAAGAGTTGAAACAAGGAAGCCCAGCATGGTGGGTAGAGCTGTCAGATGCCTTGTGTGGACTGTTAAGAGTCATCTACATCTGAAGGCAGCACCATCCCTGTCTTCACACTCATAAGAAATTTCATGTACCCTATGTGACTTGAATTGGGCTTCTGAGAATGGCAGTGTGAACAAGTGAGCAGTGATCTGAGGCTCACTCAACAAAAGAAAGCTGGTTGATGGTTTGAGTAAATGGTGTCAACTTAGCTGAGACACTAACCTGTCACTCCTTCACCTAAATCTGTCACCACTCAGTGCTGAGCCCACAGGTATAGGGTGATTATATGCAACCCTGGTATTTTAAGGGTTCATACCTCCCTCTAGGTAATAATAGTACAAACACAAGGGTAGACTTCACCACACAGCTTCCCTTGGATCATAGTAGCATCCATCTCTATATACCTTCCAGTACAGTTCTGGTGTGGAAAGCAACAACTCAACAGTGCATGCAACTCATCCACTTTAAGAGCCTATTCCTAGAGATGGGACTATGTAGGGCATGAACCATCATCAGATCAGCAGGGACAATATCCTCCCTATAACTGAGCTCTGGTTCTACATTGTTAATGTGGCTTAAGTCTTTGAGTCTCTGTAAATGGAGTTCTTAATTGGTCTAAATAATAAAAATCCAGAGTCAGATATAGAGGAAAATTCTGAGAGATCAGAGAAGAAGGAGCAAGCCAAAGCCACATTTACCTCATTAGCTTCCTAGCAGAAGAGAGTGAATTCCTGTTTCTTCCCATTTACATCCTCTCTCCACCCAGCCATTTCGCTTCCTGTTTCTGCTCAGCCATCTTACTTCCCGTCTATCTGTACAGACTTACTGACCTCTATGGTTAGCTAGAGGCAAGCTCCATTCTCTGATCTTCAGACAAGCTTTATTTGTACAAGCAAGATATCACCACATGTATCCAAAAAGAATCACAGTTTTTGAGACAAGACAGAGACAATCTAATGACTGTTACAGAGGTAAGTATAGACTTCTTTGAGGGCATCCCTGTAGGAATCCTCACTGGAGTAATAGTCAATTCCTTGAGCATCTTCCTCAACTGCGCAAGCAACTCTTGCCCCTCAAAGCCCAGCTCCAAGGGCCTTCTCAAGAACCCTCTCCTTGCCTGCAGGGATAGCTCTGATCTTCTAGCTCTTAATACTCATGGGAGAGACTTAGTGACAGATCCCCCTTCCCTGACTGTGGAAGCCTGCTGGTATGATGTTTGAACAGGGTAAGGCTGTGTCTGGGGAATTTTCTTGTCCTAAAATTTCCCCTTTATACTTGTGTAAGGCATATGGCATTATCCATATTCTAGATTTGACCTATGGCCAGGTGGAGCTGGGAATTGTTCTGGCAACAGACTGATGTTTTCAGTTTCTACAAAATGTGCCAGCTGCCTATTTTATGCCTTCTTCCTCAGTATATTCCACGCTGGTAACAAGAGAGAAAACTTAATTTTCTAAGCCACTTTCTCAGAGATCCACAGTTCTGTAACATGCGTCAACACCAATCAGTATGTAGGCTCCCAGGGGCATGGACACTGGAACCTGCAAGGCCTATTGATGGGGAATGCTCCCCTCACCATGGAATGGTGAGTTTTATATAACAACCCTGGGATAGCAGCTTGTTGCAGATTTGGCAGATACAGTTATCCCTAGGATAGAGCCAAATGGAAAGCAGCATTGGAACCCAGAATTTTGTCATGGTGATGGGCTAAGGCTTCTTAGAGAAACAGGTTTTCACTGTAGACGAGACCAGTCCAGAGAGCCTCTTGTGATAATGGGAGTGGACAAGACCCCAAGCATCTGTGTTACTAGGTCTTCTGTCTGCCTGGACTTTCCCAGGTATGTAATCTCAGTCTGGGAGTTCTGGCTTGTGCCCAAGAAGGGGCTGTGTTCTAGAGACTACAGTGCTAGCAGTGGCCTCACAAAGGAGACTTCATTAGTAAAAAAGGACTGTGAACCCTGGGAATGGTGGTACACAACTGTACCCCAGCATCTGGAGGATGAGTTAAGAAAATTAGGAGTTTAAAACAAGCCTAGACTGTATAGCAACTTCTATGCTAATTTATAACTAATGATACAGGGAGAGAGAGAGAGAGAGAGAGAGAGAGAGAGAGAGAGAGAGAGAGAGAGAACACAAAGGAATTATATGGATTGAGACAGTAGAAAAGGCCAACAACTGTAAGGCTGAGAATGCCCTACTATGGACTATTGGACCAGGCCTGTTCAGAGACAAGAACAGCACAGCTAAGAAAAAGAGGACAGGAGGATGGGTTGAGAGGCAGGGAAGGACAGCTTCCTCTAAAGATTAGTACACTATGGGTTGTTCAGTAAAACAAGCTAAATGACATGGAGTTTAGCATAGGAGACACTGATACATAATGTTAGGGACAGAGGTCAAGTGAGAGTGTCACTGACTACAGGAAGTAGCATATAGCAAGTGTGTCAATGAGGAGAAGGGTAGGAAGGAACAGACAGAGAGGCAAGTGTCAAAAGAGCCAGGGAAAGGATGCATGGAGCTATATACCACTATAACAGGAACAAATCAGTGATGTGCACCCCTGGGTGACCACCCACAAAGGATAGTATCAAGAAGAAATCTACTGGCTAAACTTAACAGAGCTCCATCTGAGTAGAAACTGGTCTTCCAAATGAGATTATTAGAAATATAGCTGGTATCTGTAGGGAAATAATGTCTAAAGGGGGGGTATATCTAAGCTAAGTTGAGCTCACATGTGTCTCAATGGCACACAAAAGCATAAACAACAACATAGATCAGACAGATACTATCAGCACTGAAACCTTTATGCTCAACTATTTTACAAGTGAGATGCTTAAAAAAAACTCAGAGAAGCAGAAGATGTTTTCACACTCACCTCTGCAAGAGACTGGCTTCCAGAACACTTACATCACAGGATCTCTGAGGTAATGTGCTCTGGGTATCACCAAGTCAAGCCTCAAGGTCGCAACTCACCTGAGAGGTCTCCTGGGAATACTTCTTACACAGACCATCTATGCCCAGAAAGAATGTCTGGATATTGGAGTTAGTCTGAAGAAAAAGCAAATGACTATGTAGAAACTTCTGGCCACTAGTTATAAAATTGTTTTTCAAATCTACAATTAACTATACATAACACAAACAGCAATTCACCCCATGAAGGTAATCACACCTTTAAGGAGAATGCAGGACAGTGACACCCACTAGAAGCTACTAAGCCTTTCTGGACACATGTATCCATTGAAATATATCCATTGAAAATGTGCTTCAAAATGAAGGTGAAAGGGATGACTTTTTTCCAAACAAACAAACAAACAAAAAAACCAAGAGGATTTGTGATCAACAGACTGATACTAAAAGCAAAAATAAAGGAATTCCCTGTGGGTAGGAAATGATCATTAACAGACCACAGAGTTTGGGAGGCAGCAAGGTGCTGTGTTGTCAATTTAGCATGAAGTAAGAGCCAATTTCCATCTGAGAAGGAGAGGATGTTGAAAAGATCAATAGACTGAAACCACCTGAAATCCTTGCATGGTCAGGAAAATCTAACTTAGATGAATATTTAAAAAAGACTTTATTTTTATTTTAATTATGTGTATAATATGCATGTCTGTATGTAGGTATGTTCCCATGAGATCAATGGAGCCAAAAATTCTCTTTCTGAAAATGTTGAAATGAGTTCATAGTACTTAATACATATTTGGCAAGGTTACTCAAGAAAAAAGTACTCATAATAGTCATTCAAAACTAGAAAAAAAAAGCAGCTGTGTGTGGAGGGAGGCACTTGACTTTAATCCCAGCACCTGGGAGGCATAAACAGCTGACCTCTTTAAGTTTGAAGCCAGCCTGGTCTACATAACAGGTTCCAGGACAGTCAAGACTACATAGAAAGACTCTGTCTCAAAAATCCAAAATAAATAAGTAAAATAAAATAAAAGAACACCAAGCTGGAGAGGTGTCTCAGAGGTTAAGAGTACTGACTGATCTTCCAGAGGACCTGTGTTCGATTCCCACCAACCACATGGTGGCTCACAAATACCTGTGATGAGATCTGGTGCCATCTTCTGGCCTACAAGGACAACAGCTGGTTGGCCTACAAGGACAACAGCTGGTAGAACATGGTACACATACTATAAATAAAAAAATCTTTAAAAAAACAAACAAAAAACAACAAATAAAATAAAATAAAAGAACATCATTCTAGACCTTATGCACCTGTTTTGAGGTAAGTAAGAACATAAAAATGTAATTGATACTGAAAGTGTAAAACTCTAAGTGAATCTCTATGGCTTCAGAATTTTAACTGTACAGAAATTCATTGAGATGTATAGTTTGGGGCTGGATTTGAGTAGCCCAGAACTCCAGTCTCTGCCTCCTAAGTGCTGGAATTACAGGCATATGCTACTACTCCCTACTTAAGAACTTTTATGAAGTTATTAACTGTGAGTTCTCAAACTTGAGTATGTAATACAGGAAAGGAAACTTTCAGTTTCAGCTTGTATATGAACATAGGTGCAAGAAATCCCAAGTGAAATAATAGCAAATTGAATCTATCTGTAAAAGCTGAAGACTGTCATTACAAGTTGACTCTCTTCCTGGAATATTATGTGTCCTTTTTAATTTTAAAAGTAAATGAAGGGGTCAGAAAGTTGGCGTAGTGGTTCCTAGAACCCATGTTGGGCAGTTCACAACTATCTGTAGCTCCAACTCTAGGGAATTCAATATCTATGGCCTCTGTAGGGATAGCACTCAGCATTCGTGTGCATATACTGAATACAGACACATACTTTTTAAAAAAGTAAATAGTCTCCATCCCACAAACAAAATGTGGTAAAATTGAATATTATCAAGAGTTACAGAAAAGTAATAATTATAGTTATATTGATTATATACCATTAAAAATATGTTTAGCAAACTAGTGTACACATACTTGGTGAAATGCTAAAACCCTGACAATGAAGTAAAGACAGAGACCAGGGTGCCTGCTGTAGTCAGCATTTCTACACAGAACCACACAGGAGTTTCTGCCAATGACTACAGACACTACTGCATATACAAATATTCTAGAAGAATAGGACCTTTAGCAAAGTGTAACATCTTATTTTTTTTAATTATTTATTTTCCATACCGACCATTTTCCTCTCCCTCCTCTCTCTCCCCTACCCTCCCCCTGCTTCTCCTAATCCACTCCTCCTTTGTTTCTTTTCAGAAACTGGCAGGCCTCCCATGGGTATCAACAAAGATTGGCATATCAAGTTGTGGAAAGAGTAAGCACCTCCCCGTGTCTTAAGGTTGGGCAAGGCAACCCAGTATGAGGAATAGGTTTCCAGGAGCTAGCCAAAATATTAGGGACAGTCTCTGCTCCAATTGTTAGGAGTCCCACAAGAAGACCAAGCAAAACAACTGTCACACAGAGGACCTACGTTGGTCTCATGCAGTCCCCCTGGCTATTGGCTCAGACCGTTAAGTTCCTGTGAACTAGGTCAGTTGCTTTTGTGAGTTTTCTGGTGGAGTGCTTGACCTCTCTAGCCCCTTTGACCCTCCCTCCCTCTGTTCATCGGCTTGTTTGGCTGCCGTGGATCTCTGCATCTGGTCCATGAATTACTGGATGAAGGCTCTCTGATGATAATTGGGGTAGTCACCAATCTGATCATAAGACATGGCCAGTTCAGGCTACATATCTACTATTGCTAGGAGTCTTAATTGGGGTTATCCTTGTAGATTCGTGGGTGTTTCCCTTGAATTGGGTAGATATTTCCTGACAGCCAGCCTGGGTCTGCCAGAGGGCCTTGACAACAGCAGTTGAGTCTGATGAGAGATGACATGGCGCTATGGACAGCAACCACATCACCTCAGCAGATACCGGCTCAGTGGATCTCCTACCCAGGGCAGGGTTGAGGAGTATATAAGGCTTACCCCTTCCTGAAATAAACTGAGTTTATTGTTTCAACTTGTTCCCAATGCCTGTGCTGCTGGTGTTGTGCCTACTTTCCCCTACCTACAAGGACCACCCTTCGGGATCCTGCACCAACAAGGGAAACAAACAGCCTAAACATTCAACCCAGGAAACTGGAGAAGGGTCAGGGTCAGAGGCTCTCTTTCCAGACTAATTCTGGCCTTATAGCAGAAAAGGGGTGCTGCAGAGCTATGTGAACAGTAAAATATGTCATTTACAAGGAATTCAAACTGTTAAGTGTTTGGAGAAAAAGAGATACTTTGTATCAAAATTTAAATATTTTCCCTTTTTTATACTTCTAGGAATTTATGCCATATAAACACTCTTGCAATTTTGGACAGAAATTGGTAAACTGATGAGTGTGAGGCAAAGCAAAAAATAAACAGGAAAAAACAGTAAGATATTATGCAGTCATATAAAAAGAATGTACCCCAAACATAGTATCATTTGGAGAACATTCTGTAAAACGAGAAATCATAAGATACATGGATTGATGACTAACTTATATACCATCCTAGAGCCTTCATCCAGCAGCTGATGGAAGTAGAAGCAGATCCCCACAGGTAAAAACTGAACTGAATTGGAATCCAGTTGCAGAGAAGGAGGAATAATGAGCAAAGTAGTCAAGACCATGCTGGTGAAACCCACAGAAACAGCTGACCTTAACAAGAGGGAGCTCTTGGCCCCCAGACTGATCACTGGGAAACCAGCATGGAACTGATCCAGACCCCATACATGTATGTGTCATTGAGGAGGCCTCGGAAATATATGGGGACTCTTTTAGTAGATCAGTACTTATCCCTAGGGTAGAAATGGACTTTGGGATCCCATTTCACATAGAGGGATACTCCCTCAGCCTAGACACACATGGGGGGGGGCACTAGGCCTTATCCCAAAGGATATGACAGCCTCTGAAGAACCCCCCCCCCATGGAAGGCCTCACTCTCCCTGGGGAGCAGAAATGGTATGGGATAGGTAGGGGGTTAGTGGGAAGCAGGGGAGGAGGGGAGGGAGAGGGAACTGGGATTGACATGTAAAACAATCTTATTTCTAATTTAAATAAAAAAAAGATACATGGACTAGGTGCCAACTCCTGAATGCTGTCATCTTTGGAACAGGATCTGGGGATGGCCACATTATCTATTAGGACTTTCTATATTGTCTGAGTTGTTGGGTAACTATTTTTGTTATAAAATTGTGATGTTTAAAAATAACAGTTCAAATATACATTTGGAGAACAGGCACAGAAGAGACAACTCATTTAAGAAGAAGTTTATGCCAAAGAATACATTAATCTGACATATTTTATAGATAGAATAAAGGTACTGGTTTAAGGCAATGAGCAAATAATTGACTTTAACTTACATTATGAACAATGCTCTTACTTACTTATTATGACTTTTATGAAAAATCAAACTCACCCAATTAGGAAGCCAGTGTTATACTAAGGAAAACTAACCAATTTTCATTTCTAAGAACATAGCACAACCCAATACACTGTGATTAAGGCTAACCTATGGCTAAGAAGGAAAGCATAATGATGAATATAAACCAAACCCTGATTGATATGGAGGCTCATGTCTGTAAGCTAAGGCAGAAGGATCTTGGGTTTGAGGACACCCTGGATGGCACAGTGAGTGACAAATGAATTTTGCTTAGCAAAACTAAACAAAAACAAAGAAAATTACAAACATCAATCAATCAAAACCAATCAACAGTAAAACCAAGCCACAGAACAAACAGCAAAACCAAATCCAATTATGTTTTATTACTCACAAGTCTCATTAATGAATAAAAATTATAGTTACTGCCAGGTGTTGGTGGCGCACGACTTTAATCCCAGCACTAGGGAGGCAGAGGCAGGTGGATCTCTGTGAGTTCGAGGCCAGCCTGGTCTCCAGAGGGAGTGCCAGGATAGGTTCCAAAGTTACACAGAGAAACCCTGTCTCGAAAAACCAAAAAAAAAAAAAAAAAAATCTTGTTTCCTATTCAAATAAAAAAAATCTGCAGAAAAAAACTTTGTAATCAAAAATTATAGCTATTATAGTTACTAAAATTCTAGTCTTAAGTTAAAAGGAAATACTATTATAATGAATATTCAAATTCTAGAGATTTCAACTTACATTTTTCGAAAGTAAAACTGTATTACATGGAACTTGACAGATCAAGCATTCATCTTTTTTACCTATCAAAGAAAAACAAATGTTTAATTACATTATATTGAACAGTGCTGTGAAACATGTGTGGATACAGACTTAGAGTTAGAATGCAGGATTACACAGTGTCTAAATGTTTTTACATTCTTACATGATGGGGCTGTGGATTCAGAGAAACAATTTTATACAATCATTTATTTTCCTGCTTTGTAAATGTGTCCCCCCCCAACAGTGACCATAAATATCAACAATACTTAAATTAGATTTTACAGTGTTATCCTTTCTCTTTCCCCACACCCAGTGCACTTGTGTGTGGGGGAAGACAGGCACTCCCATATACTAGGTGATCTACCATTAAATTTTAGCACCAGCCCTTTTAAATTTTTCTTTTTAGGACTGGGCATGATGGCACATAACTTTAATCCCAGCACTCAGGAGGCAGAGACAGAAGGAGCTCTGTGAGATGCTGATCTACAGAGTGAACTCCAGGATAGCCAAGCCTATATAGATACCTTGTCTCAAAAAAAAAATAAATAAATAAAAAAAAACCTTCAAAACTTTGGTGTTGGGGAATATTATTTTCAGGTGTGTGACTAATTAATGGCATGCCCCATCACTACTTGGCTGAAACGGACTAATATTGCCTGGCTGAAACAGTGAAGGCAATCAGTGCCCTAGTAAGCAAAAAAAGCAGTTTACCAGCCAGGCATTGGTGGTTCATACCTTTAATCACAGCTGGTTGGTGATAGTATAAGCCTTTAGTCCCAGCACTCAGGAGGCAGAGGCAGACGGATCTCTGTGAGTTAGAGACCAGCCTGGTCTATGTAGCTAGTTCCAGGACAGGCTCCAAAGCCACAGAGAAACCCTGTCTCGGAAAACAACAACAAAAAAGCAGTTTACTAAATAATATAAATATCATTTTTGTTTTAAAAAATCCAAAATATCATGGGCAACAAACTAGTTCATCTTGTATAAAAACACTTGCTACAAAGTGGACCTGCTACAGATAGTTCTTTGACTTCTACCCCACAGTGTGTATGTCAAATTTCCATCAAGGGCTGGAGAGATGGAGAGATGGCTCAGCAGTTAATAACACTAGCTGATCTTCTAGAGGACTTGAGTTCAATTTTCAGCACATGGTGGCTCACAACCTGCTCTAACTCTAGTCCCAGGAGACTAATGACCTTACAGATACCAGGCACAAACGTGGTGCACAGACATACATGAAGGCAAAACATAAGTAAAACTTTTTAAAAAGCCTGGGAGGATATACATCAGATTTTAACTAGAGTGCATGAACATGGGTCACTAGAACTAGCTAGGTTAAGACTCTGTCTAGAACTCCCTATCCTTTTCCTCTAACTTTTTTTTTTGTGTGTGTGTGTGTGTCCCTGGGGTTGATATACTTCCAACATACAGTACCTGTGGTTTTTGGAAGATAACTTAAGGGTACTGTAACCTATGTTGGATTCACGATTCAAGACCCAGAAGAAACTTGATGTGCCCCCACCCAAGACCCTAAAGTAGTCACCCACACCGTGTTGGGGCCTTGTAATTTGCCATATAATGAAGGCACATATCTTTAGGTTATGTGCTAAGTTGTTTTAACTATTTCACATCATTGGTAACTTTTATCACTGACCCAGTAGATGTTTTCAAACATTGATTCTTTGAGGGGAAAATCTAGGACATCAACACCTCTACTGCCTTCTTTACACAACATCTTTCTTCTGTTTCTACTTACCACCTATAAAACATACTTCCCAAAGTGGCAGTATTTTCCAACTGTCTAATCCTTTGGCATACACTTGCATGTTACTGACTCACCATTTAACATTCCTGACTTTGAATTACAGATCCCTAACCCAAGACTTCCTGCTGTTTCCTCCCTAGACAGCTCCCACAAGATAGTGTCTAAGGCAAGCAGCTCTCAACCTGTGGGTCACAACCTCTCACAGGGGTTGCCAAGACAATTGGAAAATATATTTACATTGCAATTCATAACAGGAGCAAAAATTAGAGTTATAAAGTAGCAATGAACATAATTTTATGGTGGTGGGGGGTCACCACAACTTCAATTGCATTAATGGATCACAGCATTAGGAAGGTTGAGATCCACCAACTTTTCTCTTCACCCTGTTGTACCGCGAGCGCGCGTGCGTTGTTTTTATTGAGACATGGTTTCTCTGTGTAGCCCTGGCTATCCTAGAACTCTCTCTGTAAATCAGTCTGACCTAGAACTCTAGCATCCGCCAGCGAGTTCAGCTCCTTGCTTCCTCGAATTAAGTCTGTTGAATCTACTTAGCATTTCCCAAATCCATCATTTTTCCTGATCGCAGGGACTGCTTCTCACAAGCCCCGTTACACAGCTTCTCCTGAGTTTCTCTCAGTACAGATTACTTTTCACACCAGGCTTCCTCTTAGAGCATACAACAGAAACCCGGGAATTTTACCCTGGTTGCATACATAAGCAAAAGTTCTCACAGTAGCATCATCTGTCACTAAGTATCTGGAAACCACCCATGTTAGTGCCACTAATGAATAATCTGGTGTGACCACACAGCGGAGTTCCATGACTTTGGCACCCATGTGTACAACGCTGACACGAAATACTGTGCGCGAATCCCTAGTCATTTAAGGCAAGGGTGGAAAACAAAATGAACTTGAGTTGCCGTGAATCGTCCGAAGCCTGGTTGTGTACCTGTCCCTTTCCTGGCCAAATTAAACATGCCTGTCACTTTGTGACACCCCACCGTCGCAGAAGCTTTGCTTCCACAGAACGGCAATCCGTCTGACCAACTGACTGCTGCCAACCAGCTCCTCACCAGAGAGACGTCTATGTAAGCAGCAGCCAGCTTTCTGCAGTGGCAGCTCGGAATCCCAGGGGCCCACAGCGGTCTCC